AGACACCATCTCAAGTAAAATGGATAGGTAGCCCTTCCCATCAACGCACTGTTTGTGATTAGAGAACCGGAATAGCAAAATACTGAAACCATTAACCCTAAAACTTCTGGGATCGATACAGTTGGATTGAATGAATGTAGTGGATTCCATGACTCCACAATTCCTCAAGGTCTTGCACAAACTTTAGACCCGCTCACACCTCATCATAGGTGAGAAAGAGAGAGCCAATCAAGAATAAAACAACTTTATTTACATACGCCGACTATGACAAAAGCACCAACTATTTGATTTTTTTTCACCGTACTAATTACAGTAAGCCTAGCTGATTGAGCCCATTCCTCTCTACTACAGATCAGTGATGAACCTATTATAGAACACCCTGACAATTGATAACTATCAATTTTTTCAGCTCGGCTGCATAAGGATTCCTTCGATGTGCTCAATGATTTTAATGCTCATATCCAATGCTATGTATATAGTTATGCACAATTTCAATGGTTACGGTAAATATGCAATGGGCGTGGCCAGGTTTCTGGCAGGTGTAGCTGCAGGTAAATTTTTCGATGCTACCGATCCAGAAATACATTAACCCATTGACGACCGCGTGGCCCGCCGACGGGCCACGCCATATCGTGCTCCTGTAGCATTTATATTATTTATCAAGTGTTCTTATAACTTTTTCATGTTTTGAAGTATCAGCTGAGCTCACATCCTTCCAGAGAGCCCAACCTTGAGGCATCGTGGTCCAGGAATCATTCGCTTCCAACTACAATTATAAGAAAAATTAAAAGTTAATGTACGGACAAAGTAAAAGGCGCGGTCGCCAGTGGGTTAATCATTACCAGAAATCGTTTCGGGTAATTTTTATGAGCTTTACATTTGGGAATGCTGATGACGACTGTCTTTTCAAAATATCTCGTCTTTCAAAGTTGTTAGAAGAACGAAAAATGCACCAAGGCAATCTACTCCTTCGAAAAAAACACCTTTAGAATTGCAAAATTAGAAGATTTTCTAGGACCACGCTGTATGTAGTTTCCTTTAGGCCTGATGTAATGTTCTGAGAAGAAAATTAAAAGAAAGTGGAGATTTAGATGAATAAAACAAAAAATACAATTGCAGTCCACATGTGGACTGCATGGTCGTCAATGGGTTAACAGTTGGCGATGTCATGATTTCAAAAGGTAACAAGCCTGGTATTAGCGACTTCTAGGAGGCAACTCACTTCTCCCCACTTACTGGACTTATGCAGCCGCTCCTGAAGACCGCTCAACCGCTGCGGCCCTGTTCGATGGCGCATTTTGTTTAGGAATTGCTCTAGGACCAGGTAAGAATCAATTTTTGGGGGCCATCACGGGGGATCTTTAGACGGACCATTTAGGGAAATAACTTACATTGACAAAAGGTGCAGATGGTCATATCGTGGTTTTCCATACTCTCTGTTCCAGGCTTCCAACTGATCTTTTCACCACTCAGCTATCCGGGTACTATGATCGGACGGTTTTGGATCAATATGTATACAATGCCTGCGATTGTTGCCAACGTTTTGGTTGCGATTACATTGATCATTATGATGTTCTTTTTCGAAGAAGCGCCGATGTTCCGTGACGAAAAGCGGGAAAGTGTCGTCAGCACAGGTCAGTTGAATATGCCGAGAAATGGGGTTTAATGAACATTGGGGATTTGCCAGATAGTAGAATCACTCCCACTTCTATCAAATACAGCTGACTTCTATGGCCAAGAGTTACGATTAAAATGACGGGTTTTTGGCAGCCACTCAGGGCGCTTTTAGGCTTTAGATACTACATTTATTTAGACAGACTGTCCTAACAATAAAATCAGAGCATGAGCTTCCAGGCCATCAGTCCCTTATGCTTGAGGGAGCCTATCCTCATCCAAACCCATGTGACCGAGTGAGGCCGGCAGTCCAGCTTAATTCTTCCAAGCAGTGACTTCAGCAGCAACTTCTTTTAGCTTTAGTATTTCCGTAGAATGGGATCTGTATGTATTTCGTTTCCATAGAGATAAACCGACAAAAAAAATTGTGTAAACTATGCCGTTGTACACCTTTGCAAGTGGTAACCCAATGTGATAAACTGATGCAACGCTGAGCCTACCACCTTGGATCTCATGGCCCACAGGTCTTCCACCTAGACCAGAGGGGTATCCACGGGTCATGCACCTTTGTAACAAGCAGTGAACGTGACGACGTGGGGACACCAAAAAACACCTTCAAAGGAGTTCTGATGCAGTATGTTCAGATACCGAAGTCTCTCTATCCCTGCCACCATTCGATAAGTTAGCTGTAATGTGCTGTATTTTTGCAAAAATGGTGCAAATGTTTATCTACGCAAACATGGAGACGTAAGTGTTGATCTCGTTCATTTTTATAGCTGCTGCCTATAGATTTATCGATTTATTGATTTTCAGCATCGGCTCTATGTATACTCAACAGATGTTTGATTTGACACGTACCGAAACCACTCAATTCAACTCGATTCTTGTCTCGCTGTCTGGTTTTGTCGGATTCGCTTTTCTTCTGACATACGTTTGGACGAAAATAGGGAAACGGTAAGTTAGGTGTTCTTAGTGAGTACATTCTCTGCCGTCATTAGAATGACCAATCGATCCGGATTTCCAGAATCGATAACCGGATTGGAGCGATCATCGGTGTGCTCATTTGTGTTGGGTTTCTATTTACCACATACTCGTGGTGGTTCTACCCGGAAACCATCGAACATGACGGTAAATATTCATCTAAAAATCGACCCTGTCATACCATTTGTACTGCCGGAGGGCGTACCGCCTACTATTAGCTGCGCATATCTTGCAGTAATGGAATTGAAATAAATTCAGGCTGTCATTCACCATGGTGTTCCACCACTCCTAAAATCCCTTGGACACTGTATGCCGGCTCTTACGTGATCGTATTCGGAGTAGGATTCGCTATGATGAACGTACATTTGGCTTCGATGTATTCAGGAGTGAGTTTCTTAGCCAGAACATAACGTGATTTATGAATATCAAGAACTCCCTTGAGTAGCGACCGACCCTATATCCTCCTCCGAATGAAAAGGCGTTCCCTGCATGCACAAAGAAAATAAAATAGAAAGGCTTTTTCTACATTTTTAAATCAATTTTTGACATGAGAGTCCCTTGTTGTTCAATTGGTTTCAGAATCGTCTGTCTGTCTTTTTATCTTTCACAGTTACTGGCGCTCCAAGCCGTTGCATAGGTCGCATGCGCATTCAAACGCCACAATAATCCTGTATGAGAGTCAATTGCGCGGGCGCACTCTAGAATACGACTGATCAACGACAAAATACTCAACGCTTCGACATCAGTGAGCTGAATCGTAATCAAGTATGAAATATACTTGAACTAGACTAGCCACCTCCTGCTTCTGAAGAGAAGTGTTCGCTTGAATAAGAGAGCGCAGACAAAACGACAAAAATGGGTCACTTTGGCTCCATTATCTTTCCCATTGCCTTCGTCTGCAATAAACTATCTGTGGTTTACATGCCTATACGGCTCAGTTGCGAAACTTTACTGTTTGAGTTTGAACATAAATGATGATACTAAGATTTACAGCAGTCACTTTTTGGCTCGCTCAGGACTTCTCGATGACTTTTCCATGAGTAAGCGCGGCCAATCAAATGGCAGGTGTCATTGCGGCAAAGAGCAATTAAATTGGAACCAGGCTGACAGCAGAATTACACCTGATGATCCGAAAATCTCCGTAGCAAAAATTTCGGTGAATATCTAACAAGAATGAGCTATGCACTATTCCACTGTTGGCAATCGTAGAAATTCTGAATAGTCCGACCAAATATGAAAAGAAATTATCCGATGTGGTAAGTCTTTATAGATCGATCGAAAAACAGAAGGATAAGGTCTTTCAGTGTTTTTCAATCCCGTCTGAGGTATGCGCCCCGCTTTTGACTTCCATTTAGTGGCTTATTGAATGCATATTTGGCTGCACCTACTTGTGCTTGTGCTGGCAGTCCAGTTTAGAAGTCAATGATAAATCCTCCCAGACGAGTCTGAAATCATTTAAACGACTCTCAGAAGGATGAAAGGCTCGGTTGATCTAGGCGGAAACCGATCCGAGATTTGAACCCGTGACCATGCGTGTGTCCTATCCGGTGTCAAAAATTGGCTCCCATGCACAAACTGTGAGCGTTGTTGGTCTCTAACCAAAGTTTCCAAACCATACCAGTCTTCTTCGAAAACTTCCTGATGTCGAACCTCCCGAATCCTAGCAATTCCTTTTCTTCCGTGAAGTTTATTGTCATCCAAGAATTTTCAGGTGCTGGGACCACGGCGACAAGGCACTATGCATGGTATCAATACACTTCTGGCCAGCTGTAGTCGAGTACTGGGACCTGTGGCCGTTACGTGAGTTTTTCTCAATATAGTACCTATTGATCATATCGATTACCAGTTACTGATTGCTTTAGTGATATGTTCGGCTACTTCGGTCCTCAGGTCGTCTGGATATTCCAACTAGGAGTTTGGGCATTGCTACTCTCCGCTATTGCTGCCTGTTATAAACGGCTAGTTCCTCTAGACGTACCTCAGCAGAATCAGGAGTATTCAGACGTCGAAGAGGAAGACAAGAAACCGATCGATAATGATCAATAAGCTAACTTTGTTAGCAAACACAAGTGTTTCCTACTCCTTCAACAATGTCAGAAAGATCCGAAAAACCCCACCTATCTCTGTTAAACTTTGACTGCTGGTTCATAAGACAGATGGGGGAAGAGCTTAGTGCAACAGACTTTCTCCACTGATTGACTGATTTACTAGTATGTATGGACCAGCTTCTCGGAACAGTGGAAAGAATTTGTGTTCGGGGGCGGAAGCAGGACTTAGCCTTGCCCATGGAGTCTAGGATACACAAAATAGAGGCTCCCTTCACCCCCTAGTGACCTGACCGAACTCCTGACGTTCCTCATCGAACTTTAACCTAGGTTATTCGTTTATTTTGACCGGCTACCTATGACACTAGAAAACCGTTCTCATTTCACGTCTCATTTTACAAACTGAAGGCACAGTTCGTGTTAATTTTGAGATATCTAGCTGAGGGTAAATTAGGGATGTTGGGTGCAGAGTAGTTGAAGGTGGGCGACGGAGTTTCAGTTGTTGTTATTACGTGGAGAGGTGGCTAAATTTAGGCAAGAATACACAAAGTTGCCTTCGCCAAGGATCACGACTAGTTATTTGAATTCCCAGCTTGAAAGCAACTTATGATATTGCGCCGTCTTCAGCACTGGTGCAACTCGTCCGCTTCTGGGTGTGGCACCCAGTGCACACAATCTTCGAGCCCTCATTACACCCTATCTGTGCAACTTTTCCATCTATCAGCGCTCCGTATGACATATTTGTGGGCAGTAGATTCATCCTGGAGGAATATCTTGGAACCATTTTTATCATGAACTGTGCCTTCAAATGCTGCTGTGCTGATAAGTGTTTGCTTAGCCTTTCAGTGTACCCTTCCTTTTCTTATTTTGATACTATTTTTCATGATACGATTGTACGCATTGAATTTTATTTGTGCTGTTCGGCCATTTCATAGACTTGAATCGACTCTCTCTCTCACCCTAACCCACTTGGGACTCCCATCCTGTCCCATTTGAACCGTAAAACTGGTCAGCCTTCAGGTCCTTCATATCGAATTCATAGATGTTTGTATATATTGTTGAGAATAATAAATTTTCATTGCTAAAAATAACATAATGCTCAATGGTCTACTCGAAAGAGAGCGTTTGATTTTGAGACAGCAGGCGCTTACTTTTTCGAAGAGCGTTGAATCATGGATGCGCTTGAGCTTTACACTATGACATGGGTGGCCGGCTGGTGATCAGCGGGCTCACATTCTTTCGCATGAGACTGAGAGGTTCCCAGTAAGATTGAGTAAGAGCAGGTGCTATATCCAACGTATTCAGAAAGTCTGAAGACAAAAAAAAAATCAAAAAGTAGGGTCTCCACCCAAAACATGACCTATTCTGAATGGGAACAAAGATGAAAAGGAAAGGGGCATGTGAGTGGGCTCTCTCAGAGAGAACCGATGGGAATCACTCCATAGGAGAACATTGCGTAACAAGATTGGAAAGGATTTTGATGTGCATTTCGAACCAATAATTCGGAGTGCACATCAAAAATCTTTCCAAACCTTTTTACCCATCGGTGGTACAATCACGAAAATTGGGTGTAAGCATGTTCTATGACTTTGATCGACTTTGTTTTGGGAAAATGGGGTCTCCCCTTGCGTTTCTCCACAATATTCGGAACAGAGAAGCAACTTCTCCCTCATCGGAGAGATGGACAGCTGTTTTAGATCCCCTTAGCTGTGACACGTAGCCATGCCACTATTACCGGCCAACTTTGGACGAGTTCTGAGACAAGACAGTATTTTGTACTAAACGAGATAAGTTGGTGGCATGGTTCGAAGCAATTGAACACATTATATCATATTTATTATGATTATTCACGACTCTTTTATTTAGCTTCGTGCAGACTAACTGAGCTTTCTCGAACGAGGCGTTGCCTCTTGGTTCGACCCCGTTCTACTGAAAGGGATGGACTAAAGTACTTCCAGCGGTATCCATCACTCAGTATTGGCCCAGTAACATTTAAAGGCTCTGCAATCCAACATATATAACAAAACGAATGTACGGGGTACTCAAAGAAGTATGGATTCGATCCGGTACGATCCGGTCGCACCGTGCGCCTAGTGGTGGGCGCCTTTGTCACTGCAACTCCCCCCCAGACAGCAGAATGCCAAAGTTTCCTCGACATTCCGTGCGAGCAAAACGCGGGGCGAACATGACGGATGGACAGACCATCTTCTGAAGCATGGGTTTACCGATGGAGTGATCGAAAGTTCCTCATTTGTTCAATTCTGTCATGTCGAGGTGACTGAAATGAAATGATTTTAATATTAACTTTGGCATTAACTCGCTTGATGACAGTTGGTCAAACCAGCCCCAATCGAGCGATTTAATAGCCCTTTGAAGACAACTGACTAGACCAAACTTCAGCCGAGTTAATCACCCCATTCACTCCAGTCCTTGCTACGCGTCTTAGTGTGAAACGTTAAGATTGAGTTGGCTTCTATGTTTGAGACACTTCGTGAAGCTCTGTTCACCCACTGATTATTCATTCACCCTTGACTCTAGCCCCTACCCAGAAAGACCTCAGGCAGGAGTACTTGTGTATACCATAGTCTCCTGCTCTTCTTGCAATTACACCACATTATTACTATGCAGACTTGCCTACGGTGATAGTCACGCTGTGATAACATTCATGCCTTCCTAAACGACGTCTTATCCACAAACACGCACAAACAGCAACAGCATCGCAGCCATGGGCGTGGGTGAAGTTTAACAGGGCTATCTCGATATGCCTGCGTCCTCAGCCTACTGAGCTATTCTTCGCTGATAGGGTGATGCTGAGCTTCGTGCTCTGGCACAAACTCTCAGGATAGGCATTTTTCCACATTTTCCACCCCCTCGCTTTCGCCGATGGATGTTGATCGGCAATCATGAAGTTTGCTTCCCACCTTGATTATACGTTTCCCACTTGGCACGTCCCATTCGACATTAGCTTTATGGCAACGCTCATTTATTTGTCTTCGTGATCATAGAAATGCTGTTCCTTTGTTTTTCATACTTTTCTGTTCGGGACGTTAAAATTATTCGATTATTCAAGAAGTTTAGTGCCGCAGTGGCGCCATTGAGTCATATGAAGTAAATCGAGGTGTGACAAAATCAGGTTCTAATGGAGAGTTCAACTTGGAAGTCTTTTCGGGAGCAATTTTCTTTGAAAATTAATTCACCTACCTTTCCTCATGGTCTAACGTTAGAAGACATTTTCCGAAATAATCGTCTCCAAACAACTCCGAGTTGGATTTCTCGTAAGGTCGCAGGAATACACCAGGACTTCTTGAGAATTTCCTTGCACAGAGACTTCAACCTTTACTAGAATACTTCGAGTACATCGGATTCCTCGTTGATAGGCAGGAGTGAGCATTGGCCGAAGACCATCGTCCCAACTTGGAATAAGCCATGCTTTTCACCTACCCTCATAATCGCAGTGGCCTTCAAACGTGTGCTCTACTGGTCCAGTGACTTAGAGCGCAACTCGACTGATTCGTTGGGCCCATCATAGGCATGTTTAGGTTGAGCCTACCTTGCTGAACTGACTTCCTTCCTTCGAGGTCTGCTGGTAAGAAAAATTCTTGCTTGTGAGAACCGAAAGCCAACTTGCCTTGTCGAGTGGAGTAAGCATAGTTGAGTTTCAGCGCTTTACTCCTTTGATAGATTCTCGATCGTGGGATTCTGGCACACCAGTATGGATGGCTGAGGTAGGACCCGGCTTTTCCACCGGGTCCTACCTCAGTCATCCATACTGGCTCTGGTTGAGAGTCTTATCTTGTAGATGAAGTATCAGTTCACATAACGTCTGCACCAACCCTTGTAGTCTATTCGTCATCGAAGGAAGCATTATTGTAAGGAATTCCCTTCCAGAGACTGGCGGTGATCCTTTCCTGTTAAATAGAAGTTGGTCATAGAAAAGGGCTGAGCCTCAAGTCTCTGAAAACAGACCAAACTCCAAGAGAAAGCATACTCACCAATCTAATCAGATAATAGAGGTTGTTTACGCTGAAGTATTAATCTCTATTTTTGAGAAATATCCTTTGAAAATGTTCTCCTCCGTCCTTCTCATTCCTCCAAGCCCATTATATCTTTACATCAAGGCAAGCGCAGGGTGTGTACATGCATGGTGGTAGTAAAAAAACATTCTGGTCATGGAACAACAGTTGGTTAGCTATGCTCGTGCGTCATTTATGTGAAAAAAGTGGCCTCAGACCAGCTGCAGCTCACCACTCTGAGTATCAGTTAAGATTTCAGGAATTCTTTCCCTGGCAGGTGAGCAAGTATCGAATAAGGTATAAGTATTGGAGAAGTTATGACAGTCAACTGACAGAGAATGCTCTGGAGTGGAGTGTACCGATGTTGCTCGAGCTTAACCTTTGGAGTTAGTACCGACCATTGTTTCTGGTCTAGTACACAGCTGCACTGCTCTTGAGTCTTCTTAGAAGCTGATCCACAGAACACATGGGAGCCCCACCCCCTCTCCCTCAACCTTCATTCGATTTCCATTCAAATAAATGAGATGCGTGTTGATTGCGTATGTGCCTACTGGTTTGCCTACGCACAAATCAGAGCTTTCAGTGTCTGTTACCAATTAACAAACAAGGAAAAATAGAAAACTTGGTTCCCCTGGATGGGTATGGGGATTCACCTTCTAGACTTTGCGTGTGATCGTACGCCTCGGCGCAACACTGCCTCTATCTGACAGAAGGATAGAAGTGGGTGGAATTCCTTGACTAGGGAAAGTACATAGTGTACAGTCGAATGACGCATGATAGCTTCTAAACAACGGCTGTGAACTTGATGGATTAGTCAAGCCTTGCACTACTTGACTAATTTTTGGTCGATTTTATGGACGGTAAAAAAAGCTCACCTCGCATGCAGCTGTTCAGCAGAACTTCATAGTAGCGAACAGGTGTGATGCTGTGGAACTGTATTGGGCGAGTTTCCTAAAAGGTTCGTTCAGAAGGTTCGACTAAGTTCCCT